TAAGGATGGCATACAGCACAAGCTGAACTGTAATGTGGGCACAAAGGGGTAGACATGAGGTTTCTCTGAGTGGAAGAAACCTCTCAGTGCCCTGAACTAAGCCCAGAGATCACTCAGGTTTTAAAGCACAGGCTCTACCTGGAGCTGCAGGGTGGGCACTGTGCAGTGGCTTGGTAAAACTGGGGTGAGCAGTCTGTCACTGAGGGGCTGTCATTGCCCATTTTTCTGGTGAGCAAATTGAGACCCCAAAACCACAAGCCAGGAGGGGCAAAAGCACTGGTTTGAGGCATTCACTTTTTTCTTTACTGGCTCCCTATGCCTCCGACTTCCCTGGGCTTGCCTAAATCCTCTCTGGGCTTGCCTTGAGAAAGAAGATTCTTCATCCTTGTGAATTGTAGGCAGAGAAGCAACCAGTCATTTGAGATAAGTCCACCTACAGCATCTTTTTGGGGCCTACCTGGGCCTCTACACTCCACTGGACTGTGAAACTGGCAATCCATAGCTCAGAATTTACATTTTGTTCTAGAGCCAAAGAGTTAAGCACCCAGGCCAGAGCAGAAGTTGGCATGTTAATTCCATGGCAAAAGGCCCAAATCAGAGAAATAACTGTCTTGACTGTTCAGCTACACCCAGGCAGGGTTTGTATTGTTTTAAGCAGGTCCCATTCTCTTCCTACCTCTCATTATTTCACCTGCAACTTTTCATCTGTACCAGCTGTTTCTCTATCTGCCATATCCTATAATTTTTGAAATTGCTCCGAAGACTGCATGAACCAACCATCAAGGGTCACTAGCCTACACAGGCTGTGCCAAGAAGGGAGGTGTCTCAACCAACCTTGACACAGAAGAGTCATGTATAAATAGTAACAACTCTAGAAGGAGGGCTGTCACATACTCAGATTCTTTTCTGGTCTCCTTTCCAAAATATATGTTAGAATGTCAAGGATAAATAAGACACAACCCCGGCAGTTATCCCTTTAAAGGGTAGCCTCAGTCTGGTCATTGTGAACCACAATTTTAGGATTTGTTTCAGCATGTCTCACCTTGTAAAATAGTAGAACTGGGGCCACAGAATGTCACGTTCAAATGAGAATCTGGAGAAGAAGCACCTCAGCAGCCTGAACATACCTGTAACAGGAACAGACTCTACCAATTAAGAAGCCATCTCATTGACTTAGATATCCATACCAGCAATGTGCACACACATGAGGCCTCTTAGATAAAATCCTGTCAACCCAACGACTCAAAAAAAAGCAAAAATTTTCTGAATCTAGAGTGTCAGGAAGAAGAACCTCTGTTGCCTGAGTGAGACTGTATGATGGATGCAACTGATAGTGTTAACTTTACTTGGGAATAGCTGGAGAAAAACCTTACATTAAAAGGCTTCTGAGTGCTAAAACTTCCAAGGAACAAAAATAGAGTTGCAGCTTGGCTGGGCATGATTGCTAATGCCTGTAATCCCAGAATTTAGGTAGTACAAGCCAGGTGGATCACCAGTGGTCAGGAGTTCAAGACCAGCCTGACGACCAACATGAAGGAAGCTTATCTCTACAGCCTGGTCTACAAGAGTGAGATTTTGTCTCAAAGAAAAAAAAAATGTAGTAGTCACTGATCTGGTAATTATTCTTTATCTTTGAGGAATATTTGAGCCCCTGGTGTGCCCTGTCCTGTGACATGGAACTACAGACTATGCAGGGGATTGAGGCCCTTCCTTTTTTGTTAAATGAAGTCTGACACATGAAAGGTTGTTCATAAAAATGTGCTAAATAAAATTACTGTACAAACTGCAGGGTTTTTGCAAGTGGGTGTAGTTATTTTACTAAGCCCACTGACATTGGACTTTTTCTTCTTTATGTAAGTCTTCAGTAAAACTCCCTATCTCATTCACTGGTTCTGAGTCTATTCTTTTACATCTTGAACCTGGTGACATTTACATCAGAGCCAAATTTGACCCAACTTACCCCATAGTGAGGAAAGATTTCAGTGTCTGCTGAATGTACTTCAAATCTCACCAAGGCATCAGCTATAGAAGGATGCCTTTGTTCTCTTTACCACTCTCATCCAAGACTCTTTTTTCAGATGAACCTTCAGTGGAATACCAAGAAATATGTACATGAAAAATATGGTCAGATGCTATATTAATGCCAGAATAGTCAGTGACCACTTTCAAAGCAAAAGGGAGTATTTTACTTTTCCTGTGAGCAGCTCTCAACTTCTGTCATCACTTTCTGGCCTCAGTAATGGTTTCATCCTGGCTCTGGAGGAACCATTGAGTCTGGGTAGGAAACACCTTCACTTAATCCTGATGCAACAAAGCTTTCTTTTGACAGAAACAACCTCTGTTATTATGAGCTTCTAAGCAATCTGGACAATGCACAACCTAAAAACCTGTGAAAAGGAGATGAGTAGGTGTTAGGGAAACAATTTCATGTTTTTTCGTTGGCAAATTCAAACAACTGTGATGGTAGACAAATGTGCAGAAGAAGACAGTACAGTATATCTCCTTAGTATGTGAGTTTACAACCAATAGTTTCCAATCCTAACTGTGAGAGCTCCAAATGAAAACCAAAAGTGATTTCACTGTACATCTATCAATGAGTGATTGCACAACATTTTGTTTATCATACTGAGGAGGCTTCACTGAGGATTTTCCATTGAACATATAGAGATAGACAGGAAAAAGTAAAATAACAACTACACAAATTTAGTAAACAAAGTGTACAAGTGTTTATCTTGTCACATTATTATCATTTTTGCACATATTTTCATGGGTATCTGCCCACAAAGCTGAAATTTTCATAATAAATATATGTCAAGTTTAAATAAAAAAAGAAATATCTTCCAGCCAGGCATGGTGACTCACATTTGTAATCCCAGTACTTTGGGGTACTGAGGTGGATGGATAGCCTGAGGTCAGGAATTTCAAACCAGCCTAGCCAACATGGTGAAACTAAGTCTCCACTAAGAAATAAAAGAAAAAAAAATTAGCCAGGTATGGTGGTGCATGCCTGTAATGCTACTTGAGAGGCTGATGAAGGACAATTGCTTGAATTCAAGATGCAGAGGCTACAGTGAGCTAAGATAACACCACCATACTCCAGGCTGGGTGACATAGCAAGATTCTGTCTCAAAAACAGACAACAAAAATACTTGTTCTTCTTTGTAGCAAAAAGGCACACATATGGTCTAGACATGCCCCGGTGGAATGGATTGGGTGTGGAGCCTGTCCTGGTAAAGAAGGAAGAAGGGTCAGTGCCCTGAATTATGTGTGGAGGATCCATTGGCACAGAAACAAAGAGACAGTCAGGCCCTCAGCCTAGCAACACTGAAGCTTGCAGGGGGCTTCTGAAAGCAGGAGAAATGGCCCATGCACTTAATGGTAGATGGCTCTATAACAATGAAAGATCTTCCCAGAGATCTTGGCACTCCTGCTAGGAGGAACTGACTATACCTGGTTTTGAGATGCCTGGGGTAGAGTGGCTGCCAGAGAGCCTCAGCAAACACCAGTTTTGACCACTATGACTGGGCCAATCTAAAATACCTGATCTCTTCTCTTTTACAAAACAAAACATGGAAAAATAAAGTGAAAAAAATGAAATCAAGAGGAAAAAACAAAATTTAAAAATTAATTTTTTTAAATTAATGTTTTTAAAATTAAATGTTTTTAAAATTAAATGTTTTAAAAATTAAATGTTTTTAAAATGTTTTTAAATGTTTACAAATTAAATGTTTTTAAAATGTTTTAAAAATTAAATGTTTAAAAATTAAATGTTTTAAAAATTAAATGTTTTTAAAATTAACGTTTTTAAAATTAAAAACAGTAATGACAAACTGAAATAAAACACAGAAAAATAAAGAGAAATGTAATTAAGATCAGGAAAAATACACAAAATGAAGATGAAGATAAATACAATAGAAATAAGAGAAATAAACAGAAATGAAATAATTTGCAATGGGGTAAAATAAGAAAATTTTAAGAATTAGGAGAAAAAAATAAAAGTTAAAAATAAAGATAAATACAGAGAAATAAAATAAAATAATATAAAAGGATATGAATGGAAATAAATAAAAAGAAATTAAATAAAATGTTACAAAGAAGACACAGTTTGGAAAAAGTTTGAAATGCAGAGAAAGTAATATAAAAAATAAAAAAAAGAAATAAAATTAAATGAACAGAAAAAAATGAAAATAAATAAAAAATAAAGAAAAACTAAAGAAAAAGAAAAATATACAGAGAAATAAAAGGTTAAAAAGCAATATAAGACCCGGGGATAATCTAAAAAACATTTCATCCAACAATAGCATAGTACATAATATTTCTAAATACATTTGGCACATTTTCTTAGATAGGCAAACTTTTAAGCTAGAATGCAAGTTTTGTCAAATTTTAATAGATAGTAATCACAAAAAGTATTATTTCTGACTATGATAAGATATAACTGGGAGTAAAAAAACAAAAGAAAACTAGTATGTCTGCATATATATGAAAACTAGACAAATTCTCGAGCGTACTATTTTTCAACTGTTAAAACAGCCAAGTTTCTTCAGATGTTAATTGTTGGGATTCACTCAGGGTGGTGGCAGAAATATCAAAGGGAAGTAGTAGGGAATGTTACAGGGAATAGTCACAAACCTTTTTTGGTAAGCTAAAAGGCTGAAATTATTACATAGCTTGTAATAATTGAACAGGATAAAGGCAATTTTCTTTTATGTTAAAGCATTAGGTCACAGGGTAAATACTAGGGACAATAGAGATTTCTCCAGTAGAGTCTGTTTACCCTACCTACCTTAACTAACCTTTTAAGCCAGATGGCTCTGTCAGGGGAGGTCGACCAGGGAAATTGCCCCCACAGTACTTTAGACCATAGTACCTTTAGACCACAGTACCTGGGGCTTAATCATTTATAGAGCTATTCTCTTAACTATGTTAATTATCCACAAGTAAGTTTGCTCAAAGCTTCTGGGATTAATTCTATACTTAAATAAATGCCTGGAGTGTGAGTTGCTTGGGGTGGGGGCTGCAATTCTTTACAGGACTCTCCTTGGAGTCTGGGAGTAGCCTCATACCCTCAGCTGGACTGGCAAAGCAGTATATCTGTGCATCAGGGCACTTTATTCACCCTTCACAGGGTCACAGGTCTGCAAGGAACAGAAATCTGTAACTACTACCCCTACAAAAGGAGCATTGGCTCGACTGGTGCCCTCATGTTAGGGCAGGCAGGCATCTGCAGAAACAGCCCTCTGCAGTTGAGGCCCATCCTGTGAGGCAATCTGCGAAGGAAGTGTGAGAACCACCATCCTGAGGAAAGCTGTGAAGGAAGAGTGAGGAACGCGACGGACTCCCTGAAAGCAAAGGAGGAGAAAGAAGCCACGTGGTGAAGTCAGCGAGAAATCAGTAAGTCATTGGTGCCCACTCAATGTTACCAGGTTCTGGGGGAAGTTGGGTCAGCTGAGATATTATCATGGGACAATAGTTATCAGCTCAACAGAAACAGCTTATAAAAGTTTTATAAACAAAAACAGTTTATAAAAGCTTAAGGCTAGTGGAGCACCCGTTTTGCAGGGTCAATTAAGGGACATAATGCAAACTATTGTAATCCCAAGCCCATGGTTCCCAGAAGAAGGAACACTGGATGTAGAACTCTGGGAACAACTGGGGATAAATCTTAACATCAGACACAAAATAGGTCTTAACTGTTATGGGTTTTAATTGGAGCAGTCCTGGCTCCGTTATACACAGAACAGCCTATAAAGAGGAAGGAGGAGGAAATGTCACCCGCCTTATCAACTCTTCTTCCCTCACCCAAATATCACTGGGCCAAATTAACAAAGAAGAAATGCAGGTTTTACCTAAGCCTCTTTTTTCAATAGACAAGAAAAAAGACCAGGGAACACTACAGCTATCAATCCTTGTCTTAAGCAGGCAACATTAGAAGGAGAGCTCTTAGCCAGCCTGGCAATGCAAAATCAGTAATCAGGTACCTAAAAGGTTAAGAATAAGCATTAAAAGCCAGAGCCACAGGGCCAGGAAAAGGAATTAGTAAATAGCAAGAAAAACTCCACCCACAGTGTGGCAGCAGCAACAAAAACCCAAGCTGAAGCCAGAGATAGTCTGCTGGGATGGGGCAAGAGTCATACACAACAAGTCCACCTAGGCCAACAGGTGTGACAGGGTCCACCCATCCAGCAACAGCTGCCTAGCAGGTGGGTGAGGGAGCCAGCACAGGAGATGGATGACATTGGCAAGAAATGGCGCCTTTACAAATGTAAAGCAGCGACATCTCCGGGACTGACTGCTCTGCTCTCTAGCTCTGCAGGCTATCCAAGGCAAATTCTCCTGCACTCCTTGTTTACAAACAACATCTCAGATCATAGTTACCAGCTAAAATTTAAGTAAAATGTAAGAACTTGAAAAACCTGTTTCTAATAGTGGCCACTGTTGTTATCTCTCTCCTACCCTGATGTAGCTCATCAAACTCAATTTAAGTAAAACAGTACCCTATAAAGGGAGAGACATTACAAATGACCCACAAGTTAGTTTAGGAGCAATTAAAAGCAAACTTTGCTCCCCAGAAGAAAAAAATTCCTGATTACAAGATTATTCATTTTATGGATGATATTCTCTTAGCAGCCCCAATGGATCCAATACTTTAAAATTTGTTTACCTCTGTCATAAAGAATATACAACTGAAAGATTTAGTCATTGCACCTGAAAAATTACCCATGTCCTCTCCTTGAAAATACCTTGGATATCTGTTAACCTACTGGTCAGTAAGACCTCAAAAGTTTAAACTAAGTACTACAACTTACACACCTTAAATGATTATCAGAAATTATTGAACAATATTACCTGGCTGTGTCCCATTTTGGGAATTCCTACTAATAAACTACAAAACCTGTTCTCTATCTTAAAGGGCATCCCAGCCCTCAATTCTCCCAGATATTTAACTCTTGCGGCAAAAATTGGAAATTAAGGAAATCAAGCAAGCCATCTTTCAGAGGCAGCTAGATCACATTGATTCATGGTATTCAATTCAGCTATTTATTTTTCCCACCTAACACTCCCCTACAGGGTCACTAGAACAAATGACCCCTGGGATACATTTCCTAGAATGGGTTTTTTGCTCACATAGCAGGACTAAAACACTGTCTTCCTATATTCAGTTAATTTCTAAAGTCATCTGTTCAGGTCACAAACATTAAAAACCATTGCTAGGTTATTACCTTGATATCCTCACAATTCCTTTAAGTACAAAGCAATTTGAAGCAGCATTACCTTTGTCAATAGATGTGCAAAAGCTTTACATGATTACCCAGGACAAATAGAACACATCCTTCCTACTGATAAACTCCTTCATTTCTTATCTCACACTCCGGTAATATTGCCTACAAAAATAGTTTACTTCCCCGTACCTAATGCTTTAACACTGTTTACCAATGGCTCCAGGAAACATGGAAAAGCAGCAATCTGGTAGAGACCATATAATTCAATCACATATTCTGAGAAAGCTAAGGTTACTCTATTTATTAAAGAACTTCTACAGTCTTAAGTCTACTCTGGAGCCACTACTGTTAAATCTTTCTCCAAATTCAGCAATTGCTACATCAACATACATGTCCCATTTTTATTACACACATTTGAGCCCACAACCCACTTCCTGGTCCATTGGCTTATGGCAGTGATCAAGCAGACCTTTAGGTTGACATCACTGCCGGATCAAGCCACCTAATCGCATAATTTTTTTCATCAAAATTGAAGAAACTTGTCTAAACAATTGCAACTTACCCAAAGACTAGCTAAAGAAATTATCCTACAATGCCCAGATTGCCAGGTCACAGGCATGTCCCCTCCTTCAACAGGTGTTAACCCTAAGGGAATAGAACTTAAAAAGTTATGGCAAACTTATGATACACACATACCTGAAATTGGAAAATTTATATATGTACAAGTATCCATTGATACCAACACTCATTTAATTAGTGTCTGAGTTCAGACAGAAACAGAAAGGTAAAAGAGAGAAATAGAGAAAAAAATAAGATGAAGACTAGAGAAAACAGACGTCAAAGTTACAAAAAGTAAGACAAAGAAAAGAGATAGAAAGAAATGTTAAGAAAGTAATAAATATTAGAATGCACCTTTAGTAAGAAAGGATATAAAAGAAATAAAGTTCAGGCATATTGAACATTGTGAAAGTTGTAAAAAGATTATAACATTAAAATTATGCAATTCATGTAGTACAATTTTCTTTTGAAGGTCAAACAAGTTTTAAAATGTTAATTTTTAACAAAATTCTGTGTGAAAAATATTGGCTAAAGTTAAAGAAGTATCATCCAGTTTTTCTGTAAACAGGATGTTAAAAGCACAAGTTTTTCTTAAAATACTAACCTGCTCTTTAATAAAGATTATAAGAGGTCTGTTAGCACAGGCACCATCCCTACAATTTCCAATACACCAGCACCCGCCAAGACACTACATCTTCATCAAAGGATTAAAAGAAGAAGAAACTCGAACCAGCTTAGGAGAGACCCTGCAAGACTATGCAACTTTATCAGAAGAAGGCAACTCAGAGGTCTATGCAAATCCTGCTTCTTTTTTATTATCTTACTTTGCCTACTGCCTTCGTCTGCCACACTCTATTAAGCCCATCTTCTAACCTTCTTTTTACTACCCTAGTACTTAGACTAACACCTCCTTTCCAGCTTCTAACAAAAACTACTTAATTAAAGGAAATTAACATACCCTTAGTGATGTTCCTCATTAATAGCATATAGTGAACTCAGATGCCAAGTAACTCTACAGGTCACTCTTTGACTGGAAATGTGTTATTAATTATACTCATCGTTGTTTTGTGTTATTTGCTAATTCGATGATGCAAAGCTGAAATAAGAGAAGTGACCACCTTGTCTGATAACCCTATGGCTTCACATATCTGTGCTCTGCAATCAAAAAACCTGATGCAGAAAACAACAAAGGGGGAGATGCTGGGGATTCACTCAGGATGGTGGCAGAAATATTAAAAGAAAATATTGAGGAAACTCATAGGGAATAATCACAAACTTTGGAAAGTTGAAAGGTTACGTAGCATGTAATAATTGAATGGGTTACTGGTAGCCAGTTCTAACCTTAAAGCACTTGGTCATAGGGTAAATACTAGGGACAATAGAGGCTTCCCCAGTTAAGCTTGTTTACCCTACCTCCATTAACTAACCTTGAAGCCAGATGGCCCTCTCTGAGGAAGGTCAACCAGGGAAATTGCCCTCAGTGGTATTTTTTTTAGACTGTGATACCTGAGGTTTAATTATTCAGATAACTATTCTTTTAACCATGTAAATTATCTATAAGTGTGTTTACTCAAAGGTTCTGTTACTGTTTCTATCCTAAATAAATGCCTGCAGTACGAGCTGTTCAGGGTGCAGCTGCCACTCTTTACAGGACTTTCCTTGGAATCTATCAGTGGCCTTGGGCCCTCAGCTGGACTTGCAAAGCAGAATATCTGGTGTCAGGGTACTTTATTCATCCGTCGCTGGGTCAGGGGTCTGTGAGAGACAGACTCCCCGCAACGAGTGCCCCCATGAATGGAGTGGTGCCTCAGTTATGGTATTAGGAATGATTGACATATCAATGATAACTCTTTCAAAAAAGCAGTGGTTCTTTTTGCAGAAGTACTAAACTATTCTAAAATGTTTGAGTCAATATTTAGCTATCTCTCCCAGGCTGGAGTATAGTGCTATAATCATGGCTCACTGTAGCCTTGATATGTCAAGTTCAGTTGATCCTCCTACCTCAGCCCCAGAAGTAGCTGAGACTGCAGGTCCATGTCACCATGCTCAGCAAGTTTTTGTATTTTTTGTAGATACAGGGTTTCATCATATTGCTCAGGTTGGTCTCAAATTCCTGGGCTCTTGCAATCCACCTTCGTTGGCTTCTCAAAGTTCTGGGATCACAGGAGTAAGCCACAAAATATTGCACTATAATTTCCATGAACACCCAGAAAACTGGAAATAGCAAAATAACTTGGAAAAAAAAGATAAACTTAGAGAAATATTTTCTTTATTTCAAAATATATTGCAAAGTTACAGTAATCAAAAAAGTTTGCTGCTGGCGTACAGACAGTTAAATAAATGTTAAAACAAATAAGAGAAACCAGAATGAAACCCACATGGCTATAATCAGCTTATCTTAGAAAAGGGTTCCAACTCCTCATGTTACAGAACATTCTCTTTCAGCAAAATTTGGTTCTTGTCACATGGTTAGGAAAGATTAGGTTAAGGGACACTCTGAAGGATAAAGAGTAGAGCTGAATGGGTAAAAAATAAAGAGAAAGACTCTCAACAAAGTGAGTTTAAGTCCTGTTTACAGGTCCCCACCTCACAGATTGCTGAATAGCAGACCAT